TTATTGGAAAGATGGCAGCCAACTTGGCTGCCTAAATCCAGTGGGAACTGAGCAGTTGACAGCCCACAATACTGCTGTCATACAGCTGGCCCACCTCACCAACTAGCAACCCACTTGCCCAATTGTCTAGGCCTCCTTCCAGCCACTTTCCAGCTGGTTTCCAGCCACTTTCCAGACAGGTGCAGCCATTGTTGACTAGTCAAATAGGTTAGAATTCAAGGCATTCCAACATGATGAGTATGGATTAAGCTTGTCAAGATTGAGAGGCCAAGGTTATGATGGTGCTAGTAACATGCGGGGTGAATTTAAAGGCCTCAAGTCTTTGATTTTGAATGAAAATCAATCAGCTTATTACATTCATTGTTTTGCTCATCAACTTCAATTAGCTTTGGTAGCTGTAGCTAAAATGAATCTTGACATTCAAGATTTTTTTTCTATGATTGCCACATTGTTAAATGTTGCTGGGGCTTCATGTAAACGCCGAGATATGATTCGAGACGATTATATGGAGAGAATTAAAGAAGGCATTGCTTCTAGAGAGATTGAAGAGGGAAGTGGGTTGAATCAAGAGCTTTTTCTCAAAAGACCCAGGGATAGGCATTGGGGATCTCATTATAAGTCACTTTTAAATATAGTGAAGTTGTATCCTCCGATTATTAAAGTGCTTGATTTTGTGAAGGATGAGGCTAGAGACACAACAAAGCAAGCTCAAGCTCGTGGTGTTTTGAGGTATTTTAAGAATTTTAACTTTGTTTTTTGCTTACATTTGATGTTCGATGTGCTTGGAATAACTCATGAATTGTCTGTGGCATTGCAAAGGAAAGATCAAGATATTTTAAATGCTTTATCTCTTGTTGAAGTTGCTAAGCAACGATTGCAAAAGTTAAGAAGTGAAGGATGGGAATCCCTCATAGCAATAATTTCTTCTTTTTGTGATGAGTATGGTCTTCCTTTTTTAAACATGGATGAGGAATATGTTGATCTTGATCATCCACGACGTAGGACCGGGAAAACTAATTTGATACGGTATCGTATTGAATTGTTTTATGTGATTATTGATCAACAAGTTGCATCACTTAATGACCGTTTTAATGAAGTAAACATGGAGTTGCTCCGTTGTGTGGCTTGTTTGAGTCCTCGTGGTTCTTTCCATAACTTTGATGTGGCCAAATTGGTGAGATTATCTCAATTTTATCCTAATGATTTCTCTGAAGTTCATGCCAAAGAATTACAGAATCAATTAGAGACATATTATGGACGTGACTTCAGATGACAGATTTTCAAATCTTAATGGTCTTGGTGATTTGTCTACGGTATTGGTAGAGACGAAAAAACACACCACCCTTCCTTTGGTATATAAACTTCTAAAGTTGTCATTGGTTTTTCCGGTTGCAACTGCAGGTGTTGAAAGATGCTTCTCAGCAATGAAACTTGTGAAGACATATTTACGAAATCGAATTGGGGATGAGTTCTTAAGTGATTGTTTATTATCTTATGTGGAAAAAGACATGCTTGAAAGAGTTAAAAATAAAATTGTAATAATTCAGTTTCAGAAGATGAAAACACGAAGAGGGCGGTTGTAATTTTTTCATGTTTTATGGTTTGTCATATTAGAATTGTAATGTATAATTTTATGTATTTCAAAACTTGTGTTTGTAATTTTTTGGTCTTTTACTTTATGTTATGACTTTAAGTCTTTAATTATTGTGCCCCCAACTCTTCAATTTTCTGTATCCGCCACTAATCTACACCCTGAACAATGTTGTTTCTATGCGTTTAACATCCTCCTGCAAAAATCCAAAAATATTTCGCAAAACATGAGCACATGTGTGCATGCATATTGTCATTTAACCTGCATTACTGCACAATCTGAAGTCATCCAAACTTTTATTAAAACTTTTGGGTTGATGGATGCAATCTTTTGGATGGCTTTAGCTTTATTTAGCATGATGTGTTGATTGAAAGCCTTTTGAATTAATTTTATTGTACTTGAAATGTGGCTTGATCTTGACTTTTTTTGTTAATCTGATGTTTCTTACATTTAGTAATTTCTTTTTTTCTAATCTAGTGGTTTCATGGTAATGTTAGTTAGCTTTTGTAATTTATTGCAGAGTCCATGGGGTAAGATATGGATTCTCCGTCCTCACGCGGAATAACGTGCACATAACAGATATGCATCTTGGAGGGAATACTTCACTACTATTGTCGGAATGGTCGAACGTGCAGTAACAACATAATTAAGAAGATGAAGTCTAACATAGCAAAGGTTAGGGGATTAAGCGCGCAGAATGTCATACTTCACGGGGGGTGTCATTCTCTCTTGCCAGATCTACCCAAGTATTGAATCATTTCAATCCATGAAACTAAGGCTGCAAAAGACCTACGTCTTCCTCCATTATATATCAACGTGTTATAATTGTTGGATTCAGAAACTCAAAAGTTAAAATATGTACCTCTCTGCTACTTAGAGGTTCTTTGGCAGTGTGTTGCTTTTAATCATTTAGCTTCTGCTTTGAGTAGAAGTGATTTTACTATGTTTGGCATGTCAGCTTCTGTTTTTCACCACCACTATTTTGTACATAGAACACCGTTTCAGAGAAGCAGATATGAGATGCTTCTACTTTCAGCTTTTGTGGAAATCACTTTATCCATAAGTTAATCACTCACAAACACCCTCTTAGTACTAACTAATAAGGACAGAAGTAAACTCGGAGAGCCATATTTCTAGAACTCAAGAGCAATACAACATTTTCATCAATCATGACTAAATGCTGCAGACATAAATACCTGAAATCCACTTAGTAGAGCTTCCATTTGTGAAAGAATCGTATCACAGTCACGAATTTGATCATGTAGTGAGACCAGATTGTCACTTTCTTTTATGTAATCCTGTTAATTGTACAAATAAGCCTGTTAAGCAACTCATACATCACATCAAAGATATCAACCATCACCACAATACAGCAAAAAGGTAAAATTGGGTAAAATGTCATCCTTAATACGAGTTCTGAAGATTGAGAAAAAATGTAGTGAGCATCTTTTAAAGAAGCTACACAACATTAACAGCTAAAACACGAATCAATGTTTAAAACGCCAAAAACCAGGGTAATGCACAAGAGATTAACAAACCTGGATCGAGTCCAGCTCAACCTGCCTTAAATTGTTCTCAACTCCCTTTGTGTATTCCCGTAATTTCATGCCTTTGGAGAGTATGTTTGCGACTACCTACGAATTGAAACAGCAACATAGTATCTCAAAATCAGGAAAATATATGCATTTACAATTCCTTAGAAAAGAAAATGAAAGCTCGAGACGAAATTGAACCCAAACTGTATAATACGGAGTATTAACATGCATACATCATCGCTTTTACACTCTTCTAGCTCTTCCTCTAATCCCTCGAGTGATATATCCTCGCTACACATCACGACCAAACCAATGCTATTCACTGTGAAACTTGGTGACGGCCGGGACCGGCCCTGTCATATATGGGGTCCGGTTATTTGGCAGAAGGCCTCAGGCGAAGATGGTAGATCGGCAATCCGTAATCGGTAGATCTATTTGGCGGAAGAAGTCGGCCGTCGGCTTCTCTTTTTTTTTTTTGAACGTTGGCTTCTCTTTGACTGGGACAACTTAATTTTTTTAAAGTGAAATTTGTACTAAATAGGACTAAAACATAATGATTTTTTTAATGTTAAACTTTTTTATTTTTTAAATAGAACTTAATAATGACCTAGTAGAAGGAATAATGTCCAAAATGCTAGACATTTACTTGAATAATGACTACTTGATAATGACCAAAAGTCCTACATTGAGAAATAAAAACATATGGTCATATATTGAGAAAATTATTATGTTTTAGTCCTATTTAGGCAAATTTCTCTTTTTTTAATTATATATTAATATTTTTTACACTATTTCTCTCGATTCTAAATTTTTTTAATGCAATTTTTTTTGAAATCAAGTAATATATTTCTCACATAATTTTTAATGCAATAGACAACAATGCTAATGTAGAATAAAATAATATTTGAGAAATTGAAAATGTGCTCGACAAAGTCACTTCTAATTTGAAATTTTCTGAAAAACTTCAAGGTATACAAGATTTTTGATATAAAAGCAAGGTTTTCCAATGTCATATAGAACCAATACTTTTAATTATGTCTTTATCTTTACTTGTGAAAAATCAACATAAAGCTAACAATGAGTAAATACTGACTTGGCTAAAAATAATCCAAGCAGTTTCTTGGAGGAGTGAGAAGCAAACCACCGTGTCGATATCTTCCGTTGAAGCAGAGTACCGGGCTATGGCCAATGCCTGCGTCAAGATCTATTGGCTAAGGGGGCTTCTCGCCGCCCTCTCTGTTCCTTGCGTTGCCACTCCTAAACTTTATTGTGACAACAAATATGCACTGTTTATTACTACTAATCCTGTGTTTCATGAGTGCTCTAAACACATTCACATTGGTTGTCATATTGTCAGGGATTGTATTCAGCGCAATCACGTCGTCACAGCTTATCTTCCAACGCGCTTGCAGATAAGCTGGGCATTTTTTATATTCATGCTCAAACTTGAAAGGAGTATTAGCGTATATTTTATATATATTGTATTTTCTAGTATATGGGCCAGTTGTATTGTTGGGCCTCGTTTATCACTTGTATATATACTTCACGTTTATCAATGAATACACATCCATTTCAGTTGCAAATTTCATCATTTTCTCTTCTAACTCTATGATTCATACTTATTTATAATCATATGATTCACATCTTACGTATATTTGTGATTCCATGTGACTAATTTGTGAATTGTGATCGTATATGACGTGATATATGTTCTAGGTTTGTATGGTATGAATATATGAGGAATGATTTATTCAAGCACTATATTTAATATGGTTTATGTTCTAATTGATATTTATATGTCCCAAGCACAATATTTGATATTTTTCTTTAAGATTCCAAATTACATGATTTATTCATTAGAAGTCCTTTCTCTATTTAGAATAATTCTGATATCTGAGTCGTATGTTCACATGACAAAATTTTGGCACTCAGAGAGGTGTATAGTAAGTCAAAGTCTAAGGGGGTGTATTCAATCTAGACTCTGCGGGATTTTTTTGGATTTTAAAAGTCAATGGATATTCAATTAGGATTTTAAAAAATCATTTAAAATTTAGAGGTATTCAATTGAGATTTTAAAGTATAAATAAAAAAGTCTTTTGCAAATCCAAACAAAAGGCAGGGATTCTGCATTCCGCCTCATCTTCTCTGTCCGCCGATCTTCTCCTCTTCATCAACCGCAACCCCCTCTTCTTCAACCTCATCTTCTTCTCTTCTTCGGCAACTGCAAGAGCTCATCTTCCTGGTTTCTTCCTCCGTCGGCACAGGTTTTTCTCTTCTCCAACTTCCCTCCATCGTCCTCAAGTTCACGGTAAGATCTTCTCCATCCCCAATAAACTATAATGAAATTCTTTTTTATTATGTAATTTTACCAGATTCAAAACCATTCCAAGATATTTTTAACAGATTTACTTATTTATATGTGTGATTTCGTAAATAAAAATTAGATTGATTTTGGTTTTTAAAACCAGATCTTCTTCTTCATGAGATACTTCTTCTACAACAGTGGGGTCTAAATTAAGAAAACGAAAGAGAAGATGAACAAGGCAAACCTATATGTCTCTTGAATGCATTCAAAACAAATTTTTAATTGTCTATTGGTCTCTTGAATGCATTGAATAGTATATAATTGAAAACGAGGCAAACCTATATTATGTTGAATAGTATATATGGCAGGGCTTTTTTAAATATGTCATGGAAGATGGTTTTTTTCCTGTTCATCTAAAGAATGTCAATAATCTTGATTGATTAGCCGTTTTAACAGTTCTACTTTAGTAGAAATTTGAATGATGCATTTTGTTGATTCATTTTTTATGACATTTCTATACTTGTCTTATGAGATGTAATACATAATAATAGATCAAACCTATATTTCTCTTGAATGCATTGTAAACAAATTTTGACACTTTATTTTCCGTACTTCTCATCCTTTTTCTCTTCTCCATGACAGTGGATACTATTTAATTTATGCTACGATTTTTATGCATTTTCATACACACACACACACTCCTTTTTTTACTTTCATATCAATATCATCATGAGTGATCAACAACAAGATACCAAAAAAGGAGGATATGAGCAATGGACAACCAAAGAAAGTGATGTACTGTTAGAGCTCATGGTAGATGCCGTTGCTTGGGGATGGCGTGATAATAGTGGTATTTTTTCTAAGCAAACAGTGGAAGAGAGGATACTTCCTGAAGATATATTAGAATGAATGAAAGGATTATGTGACTTTATTTTAAATCTGTTATGTGACTTTATTTTGGTTGAGAGTTAAGACTTAAGAGTACTCTGGTTTATTAAATTGTTTTTAGGTACTTGTGGTTTATTAAGTTGTTCTAAATTATATTTGGTTTAATATCTTCTTATGGTACATATACACTCGTATTCTAGTTTTGTATTATGTGTTTATGGTACATACTCATAAAAGAAGAAGTGATAACGAGATAGAGCTATATTATTTAATAGTTTTATTTTAAATTTTTCTTTGAATTTTGGAGTAATGTCTTCTATCATTTGTGTTGTCTTTTATTTTTTTATTGATAAAATTTTACTTACATGAAAAATAGTTTAGACACAATAATGCTTTGAGTTTCAAAACAAATTTATTGCTTATGACAATGATCAATATATTATTCTATGCTAATAAATTTATAATAATGATACTAATGTTTAAAAAGTAATTTATTTTTTATTTTATCATATGATTTTTTTAATTTAAGTCTTTTATCAATTTAATAAATACAATTAATGTTAGATTAATGTATGACTTTTTGAAAGAATTCAAATGTTTGTATAAATAATCCATGGATTATAAATAATCTACTAGAATCCTATGAAATCCTGTTGATAAAATACAGTAAAATCTATCTAACTCTGTGTAAATTCTAAATAATCTATTGACTTTACAAAATTGACACATTCTAAACAATCTATCATCAGAATCTTATAAAATTTAGATTAAATACACCCCTAAATCGTAACAAACATAATATAAAATAGTTCATAATCTAAGTAATAGTATATAACTTAACTATTACGACGAATTATAGTATTATGATTTTCCAACGTGAGAATTGAATGAAGGTTGTGGAACATGTCTGTTTCAAATCATTAGTTCTAGTGCACAAAAAATTCGAGTAGTGATCTTGGATCACTTGGAGATTATTTTTAGAAACGCACTATCAAGAAAACAAAATAATTATATCTTCAATGGTGCCGCTGAGTCAACTACGATACTCTACATCTTGAATGTACATATGGATAAACTGATGGGTCATGTTGCATTGTTGCATGCATTTTAATGACTATGGTACAATCAAATCACTGGTCTTAATCCTCAGCCCTTAGGTGTGCAACACAACTCATCGTAACACGTGTATACAATATAGATTCTATAAAAGAAAACCCCTTAAATAGGAATAAAACATATGTTTTATCATTATAATAAGAGCTCAAACTTAAACTCCCCTAAATAGGAGTATTTAAATAAGAAAACTATCTAGATAAAATTAAAACATAACTCCTCAAAATAGGAGCTCAAATTAAAATTCTCTAAATAAGACCTACATAATTAGAGGCTAAAGTAACCCACCACGCCTGACTCTCAAATAAGCTCTTTCTTATCCATTCTTATCCATTCACAGCCACTCTCTTCAACCCATTGCAGTATCTTTTGTATTTTAATACTCCGTATATGGCCGTTCATTTGAAAGGGTGTTTAATTTAGTTTGTTTTAGGGGATGGGGTTGATTTTTTGGGATTTTTATAGGGATTCTATTCCTATCAATGTTATTTAGTTTTGTAATTGGCTAATGAAACTGATGCTTTTTGTTATGACTTATGAGAGCATAATAACTCTGTGCTATTTTTCAAAGCAATTTGAAGAGAATTATGTAGGCTAATTTTTGAAGAGAATTGCTTCGGTACTTGCCTGGTCGTGCAAGGCATTAAGTCATATTTGGCATTATGCTTTTGTGTAACATTCATAAATTCACATTGTGACATTATATATGAGCATTTGTAACATTATATATGGGCATTTGTGCCATTATATATTGTTATGTATGACACTATGTGGTGTCATGTTTGTCATCATGTCCTTTTTGGCATTGTATTGATATTTGATGATTAATGTAACACTGCGACGACAACGATACATAATTGTGATGTTAATGTGGGCAAAAATGGTAGAGAGCGGTAGTGTTGGTGGTGACGGTGATCGAAAAATCAACAACGGCAATGGAGGATTTTGACAGCAACGGCGGAGCATAGATGGCAGCGGCGGAGGAGACTTAAGTGATAATGGCAGGGACACAGCGACTAGGGCGCAACGACATCAGGTTGTTTGCGATGGAGCAAGTTGCTGAATTGTGTTTTAGTTTCAGAACTATGACAAAGTTTCTTTTTTGGTTTGAGCAAGTTTCTTTTTTGGGTTGAGTTAATATTTGCATGTACTCTTTTGTTTTCTAATATTTGAGCTAATACGGTAGATGAGCAAGATGAGTGGAGCGTGGGTACATTGATTGAATTACACAGATGAGTTGTGCACACAATAACTCCTATTTTGGGGATTTTATCTTTCTACTGATTTAATCAATCTTTACTCCTATTTTGTTCCTTAACCCATTCTATAATTCACTCTTGGTAGTAAACTTATATTAATAGAACAATGAAAAAGAAATACGTTCACCACTTAAGTGGGAGAAGCAGTTCAAGAACAACTCCAAACTAGGAGCTGTTTAAAATTTACTCTTATGAGTAAATTTTAAACGGATATTTAGGTCGGTCAATATATGTTATTTTTACAAAATAGCCATCTCAGGTCATGTAGCATCCAACAAACAAATAATATACAATGTATGTTCCAATTAGCACCAAACAAGTAAACAAAGAATAAATAAAAAAAATATAGCACCACATGTTCTATTAATATAAGAAAATACAAATTGAACAATTTATAGCATCACATATTCTATTAATACAAGAATATACAAACAATTAAAATTATATTTAGAATTTAAAGAAAAAAACATTAAAATAAAATATGATATAGCCTCAAGTATTCAACTAATGCAAATATATTCAAATAAACAATAGTACTCGTATAATTTAAGATTTAAAGTGAAAAATTAAAAAAATACCTTAGAATGGGCAAAGGTGGGGTCGGCTGGCGGTGGTGGTGAAGAAAATGTCAGAGGATAGATGGCGACGGTGACATCGAGAGCGGGAGGGCAAAGAAGGATAGGTGGCAATTACAGCGACGTTGAAAGCGGTGGCACTGAGATGGAACAAAAACGAAGAAGGATAATGAAGACCCTTTGTGGAGGACGGCAATGCGATGGCGTGGAGGTGGTACGAGGAAGTGGTGGAGGAAGGCGACACAATGCAATGCGACGAAAAAGGAGGACAGTGAAGGCAAATTTGGATCACGTGAAAGAGATAGGATTTTTGCAGTTATTTTTAACCACCATTTTGAATCGGTTGTTAATAATCGATTCAATAGCCTATTGAACTAGTTAGTACTAATAAATGATTCAATTGCTACCGGTTGGCAAAATTAATTACCTCATTTGCATTAAACTTCTTTGAAACCGGGGTAGTCAATTTGGCTTTTTTTGTAGTAGTGCACCCAAGAAAGAGTTAAATGTAATTGAATATATACATAAGTGGTTTAACATATGGAAAACTATTTATTTTCTTTCCTTAATGTATTTATTTTCTTCTCACTTTTTTTCACATTTATTTTATTTTCTTTTCCTCTTGAAAGAAATTATTTCCCATATACGGAGTAATGTTCTCTTTCAATTTACGTGAACCAAACATGGTGTAAAAGATTTACTTTAGGAGGAAAATGATTTCTATTTTTTAAGAAATGTTCTCTTTCCTCCTCAAACTTTTTATCTACACGATAATTGAGCTAACAATTTCCACCACTTAGTTGCGTTCAGTTAGCCTGATTTGATCTAATTTGAATTTTTGAAGTTTTGGTCTGATCTGGTCTGGTCTGGTCTCATTTGGTCTGATTTGATTTGATTGGATCTGATCTAATATGAATTTGATTAAAATTAAAATTAAAATTTTTATTATAATAGTTATAATATTAGTTATAAAATAATAGTAATGGAAATAATAATAATACGAATAGTAGTAATAATATTAATAATAGAAATAATAATAATAATAATAATATTGATAATAAAAGCAATCATAATACAAATAATAATAATAATAATAATAGTAATAGTAATAATATTAGTAACAATGATAATGATAATAATAATAATAATCCTAATAATAATAGTAATAATAATATTAGTAGTAGTAATAATAGCAATAGTTATAATTACAATAGTAATAATAATCATAGTCATAATAATAATAGTAATAGTAATAGTAATAATAATGATAGTAATAGTAATAATAATAATAATATAGATAATAATAATAGTATTAGTAATTATAATAATATTAATAATAAATATAATAATAATAGTAACAATAATTATAATCATAATATTAATAGTAATAATAATGCTAATAATAGTGGTAAAAATAGTAATAGTAATAATAATAATAATAATAACTTTTTTTAGATCTAGCCTTATCTGATCTGATTGGATCTAATGTGATCTGATCTGATTGGATCTGATTTGATGTGATTTGATTTTAATAAGAATACGTAATAAGCAGGAAAAATAAGTTGAATGGAACATTGCTTTACACTATGATTGGTTCCAGAAATTTAGAAAGAAAAAGTAATATTTTTTTACATTTCCTCATCAAAATGGGAAGATTTTTACTCGTTCCTCTTAATACATTTTATATACTCAATTTTTTTCTTTCGCTTTCCCTTTCTTTTATTTTCCCCTTTCTAACCAAACAAGACAATATTTTTATCTTAATAATTTTATTTTCTTTCCCTTTTTAAATTCTTTGATCCACACATAGTTTTTTGGTAATTCAATTGACATTTCACAACAAACTACTGGAAATCCAATATGAAAATTCATTTACCATAAACAAAACAAATTTTTTGGAAATCAATTTTCTCCAAACCAAACGCTACTTTAGTGAGTTAGTGTGCTAGATGATGAGATGTAAGAAGAAAAGTGAAGTGAGAATTGAGTTGATTTGCTTGCATTCTAGTCGATTTCTCATTTTCCTCTATTTCTTTGACAATAGCATTGTTGCATTAGTTTACTTCATTGCACTTGCATTTCACTCACCCGCTCTATCTCTAGGCCTTGATTCACGTTTAACAATTTGATATTAGTGTTTAGTAGGCCTGGACACGGTACCGGTACAGTACCGTCACCGGCAACGGTACCGCCGGTACCGCTACTGTCACCGCCAGCCTCACGTCTCTCCGGTTCCGGGGAACCGGTACCGGCATCGCCCCTCACGGTACCGATTCCGGTGCCAGTATTTCGGTACCGGCACCGGCGGTACCGATACCGGTTCCGGTACCCTTTGTATTTTTTTTGCTTTTCCCAGTAGATCGACGGTTACGGATATGCATATATGGAAACCTTTGACTTAGCATTTATCTACGGAAGGCAAGCTATGCATACAAGGAAACCATTGATTTAGCATATATTTAGCCTTTCACTTTGTAAATATGGTAGTAGTATAATTAATTTATATTCTTGCCTTATGCGGTACCTGACTTGTAGGAATCCGTGTACATATATTTTCATCCTTCTTGGTTTAACAAACACAATAAGAATTTCCCATATGATTTAAAACAAAAAGCAAAAAAAAAATAGGAGGTTGCCGAAACCGGCCGGTCCGGGTACCAGAACCGGTACCGTCCGGTGCGGTCACGGCAGGGCCGTCTCCGAGAAATCAGGGACCCTGGACGTCACGGAGAAAATGGGTCATTGTGTCATAATAAAATAAAGTCTATCAATTAAATTTTTTTAACAATAAAAAATATTATAGTAATAAGAATAATAAAATGTCAAATTCATAGTCTTATAAATTTATAATTCATAGTCTTAACCTGTTTTTTTATAAATATATATAATATATATAGAATATATACAAAAGAAGAAAAAAGTGGGGCCCCCTCCAAAATTGGGCCCTGTCCAGGTGGCCACCTTGCCCCTGGCTTGAGCCGGCCCTGGGTCATGGTGCCGGTATCAAGGGGTGGCGGTACCGGAACCGGCGGTTCCGGAACCGTACCGTGTCCACCCCTAGTGTTTAGTTATACTCTGCACTCGATTCAGGCATTGTGTCCACATACTGCAAGCTTATTTGGCCATTTATTAATAACCCATCAAACACCATCTTATTTCAAAAGGTATTGGGAACAATTTCACCTCAATTTTCAAAAGGGGCACAACACTTCTCAAAAAACAAACCAAGTTAAAAAAAGCATCCAATACTTCTTTTTAACACAGTGAAAGAATTTTCATAAGGCAATTAGAAATTGACAAGGAAGACTAATAATATAAGCACAAGTTAAAAAGATAACACAAAAAAAAAACTCCATTATAAGGACAAGATGATAATAGTGATGCTGCAGCTAGACAGTAAGAAAATCCAGGAATAATCTTTATCACAAAATTTCCTGGAACACTCATGCTTGTAAATGCTCAAAATTAAATATACAAACATCCTCAAAACTGCTATGGACCCAAATATTAAACATACTAGAAAAATAATTATTCCTTTACTCTCCATATACACTTGCCTCCGGTGAACCTCTTCCACCTTCAACCTGCATTATCTTAGCACACATTAGGAAGGGCAGATAAATTAAAGAAATACAGAATATGAACGATGAAAAGACAACACACACACAAAATGGCAGATCAGCAAGCAAAGATTTACGGTATGAAGTTAAGTTATATATCCTTTACGGGAAGAGATCAAACCTGAGATTAGAATTATCCATCATTATTTTTTCCAGCTGCATGGATACAAGGGACTTCCAAGATGAGAGGTCATTGACCTCCTTACTCTGCAAGAAAAGGAAAAACATGTTCACTAAAGCATACTCTTTATCTCTGATGTGAATATTTTCGTGGTAAGGAATTCACATACCATGGCATCTTTGCTCTCGGAAAAACTCTTTATGTCTGATGTGATTGTCTTGAGAAGGGCTTCTTTATCTGACATATCCTTGCCGAACACTGCAGCAGTCTTTCCATATCTAGAATTCATTTCTTCCAGATAACGCTCAAGGATTGATAAGTTTATATCAAGAGATTGAATTTTCTTCATTAGTATTTTAAGAACACTGTCGCCGGGCATCCTGTTCACTTGTAGATGGCGAATCTCCTCAAGTGGATCAGGCACGTTCATTGTCATTGCCATTGGTTTGACATCAGAGTTTCGTTCGGTGTCAGTTTCTAAATTACTGACATCAGGCAACGTGTGTTGGGCGGTGGTCATCGGTTTCTTCTGTTCATTGTTTGTTTGATCGGGAGAAGCTTTCTTTTCTGGAACAGAGATGAGATCATCCAACATCTTCTCTACGGCATCAACTCCATATACTTCCACAACACTTAGTGTACAGTAAAACTCTGATCCGTAATGACTAAGAAAGCTCAGTTTCACATACCTCACCCATTTTGGTTCTGTAAGTACAAAACTTTGAGCATGTTTCACATTCCCAGCAGTAAAATTACCAAGTTTGACCCAAGCATCAGTTGGATAGATATGACTACCAAGAAGTTCAAAATCCTTTGGATTGGACGAGTAGTGTTCAAAGTTGCCGATTTCAATAGTGTCCACCAAAGTTTCTTCTGAGAGTTCTATCACAACATACTTCTCATCAGCAGAACAAGGGTTTCTGAGGTACTTGTCTTTATCTCTGCTCAATATATTAGAAGCGCCTTTCGCTTCCTTGTTGTGAGCCAAGACCTTAGCCCCTTTGGAAGCAGAAGCATAATTGTACTCTGCTCCTCCTGGTTCCACCCTATGGGTGATGCTTCCTGCATGATCATCCAAGTCTCGTATTTTTGGATTGGATGTTTTGCTCCTGAACTCATCAAGACTTAAAGTGATTGACTGAGAAAATGTATCAGATCTCGATTCCTTTTCTGAATTTCTGGTTGATTCTGACTTCCCTGTGTCAGTTTGCTGTTCGACAGCCAGAGCAGACTTTGTGTTGTCTGATTCACTGGGGATGCTATCAGTTTCTTCAAGTGATGCACTGATCAACTCTTCAGAACTGATTCCCACTTGGGGATTTTCATCTGTAGATGAAGCAGAATGATTTCCTCTTTCAAACACAAGCTTAGCGTCATCCCCATATTGAACACTTAACTGATATTCTCCGGATCCGGGATCTGACTCCACCAAAAAAAGCATGCAAACAACAATTAATTGGAATAGATCAAACCAATCTCAAAGTGCAAATGCCAATTAATTGGAAGAAAGTATGTTATGGAAGCAAATTGTTTTTCGTGTTTGTTAAATGAAACTCAATTCAGACAAGAAACTATAACAAGTACGAAGGATTAAGAATGTGATATTTGGACTGTAAACAAACCTTTGTCCACGGCACCATGGCTAACACACAAATTTAAAACGAAGACAAGTGCCCACAGAAGAACAGGCAAAAAACAGATTCTGGATGAAGTGTTTTTTTCACATATTGCATTATCCAAGGACCTTCTTAGCTGAAAATCCTTACGAGATCTCTGCATTGCACATCAATCCAGTCCGGTGCAGATCACCCTGAAATGCAAGGGAATTGAAAATATAAAGAAGCGTTTTACAATTCAAATAAAGAAGGCATATGTGTGGGTAGTATAGAAGTAAAGCACACATAAATACATCATAGAGTATGCTTTTTAGAAAGGCAAATTAAAACAAATGCATCAACTCCAACTGTTTCCGTCTTTTAAGTAAAGGAACGTCGAGGTAATTTGAATGAATATCTCCATTTTATAAACACGTCTAGGAGAAACAAAACAATGGAAAAAGAAAAGAGAAATGTAGAACCCAGTATACAATTGAAGAAAGAAAAAAAAGTAATGGTTGGCCACCAAAACCTAGCAGATGATGAAATAACCCAAGTAATACTCCAAATAAACCAAGAAAAAGTAATCTTTGCAAGAATTTGATCAATTACAATAAATTCACTGGTAATCATACACTCATGGGATTTGTGGACTAAAATAAGGTATTGATCAAAATTAAAAAGGAAAACGAAGTGTCCCCACAAATCACTGGCAAAAAAAGTACAGTTACGCAAATACGCTTGGACGGGAAGAACTGAATCACTAACAAGAAAAAATAGATCGAATAGCCATTAAGGGAATAAAGACAAATCAAAAGCAACAAATTGAGTCGCGATAAGATCAAGAACCAGATTTCAGGAATCAAACAAGGCATCAAACGAATATGATCAACATCTAAATAGAATAATAAAAAAATTGCGAACCTTAAATGCGATCAGAAAAGAAAACTGGAGATCTTCAAAACCAGGAATCGGAATTCGGCGGTATATCAACGCCAATTGAGGAAGAGTCCGGTCCCTTGTCTACTTCTTTTCTACTCCGAGATTCATCAACGTACCGACAAAGCACTTGGCCTCTGGCGTTTCGTAAACGGCTCTGCTGGCATCAGCTGTTCCAATTTGAAAACAAATTTAAATATGCGTTCATTTTTGGAAACACGATATGTCTTCAGGTACAATATTACTAGGGAGTAAAAGTTTTAAAGAGTAAAACTTTACGTTTTGAAAAAGGAAAAACTTAACTCTACCCCAAATTGAATACCACAAGTGTAATTGGTGGTGTACACTTGGATATATGCGATATGCCTAACAAATCTCTTTGAAATATACAATAATAAGAAGGGGTGGGGTGTGTTCGAGTCGAGGCGAGGCGAGGTGGGAAAGTTTACCAGAGGTGATAGGAATTATCAATTTTATGAATGAGACACCTTACTACATTTGGATCATCCCATGAAATTATCGAACAATGCCACGTGAACCGCACCGTTCCAAATAATAAAAAAAGAATAAGTGTTCAGAAAAAGAAAATAGAAAAGAGTATGTGTTTTCCTAAAGGAGTCTTCAACAACCAAAAAATATCTATATGGTACGGAGTACTTTAAAATTGATGTATTTTTCTTCCAGAGTAGTCCTCTAACAATTGGGGTGATAGCATAGTTTTCAGAATCGAACCACTAATTCAAATGGCTGAACCAGTGGCTCGCACATATTTAAAAATTTTGAATTTTATATATATATATATATATATATATATATATGTACACACACACACATACATACATACTCCCTCTGTCTACAAATAAACTTCATGTTCACTATTCACAGGGTCAAACTTTATTCACTTTGTTGGTCTACTTTCATCACTCATTTGATAAAATAATATAGTCATGTCACCTCTAGTTTTATTGATCTTTTGATATAGTATTTTAATATGTAATTTTTAATTTTACACCATTTTTTATATAAAATTATTTGAAAATAACTTCAGTGAAACATCGTAACGCGCAACGGTAAGTTTATTTGTGGACGGAGGGAGTATATGTATATATACTCCGTACATCTCTGTGTGTGTGATATAATATGTAATTAAAATAATACTTTCTATATATAAAGAATTTATGATGTATTATTAAATTTATAATTACTTTAATGTATTTGAGTAGTAACATTAAATCGTTTTTTTAGAAAAAGTAGTAGCATTAAATTAATTATGGGTATTTAGAAACATTAAAAGTTTATAAAACAAGAGTTGATTTTTTTGTTTAATAATTTACCCAATATTTTCAAAAAATTCAAATGAGTTAATATTTTGGGGTATGTACTTTGTATGAGTATCAATTGCATTAATGGGTAAGAGTTTGAATCAAAATTTCAACATTATACTTTTCAAAATTATGGTGATGAAAAGTAGTCTTTTTAAAATATGTATTCTTTTAAATATGGGCTATTAAACTAATTTATGCTGCGGAGTAACAGATAACAAAAAGTAAACTGTTATGAGGTCTTGTGCTCGAAGCCCACTAGCTTAAAACTTTTGGAAAATTTGGATGCAAAAAAAAACAAAACTGGTTCTCTGGTTTAACCTGCTGAACCAGACCGGTTTGCCTATTGGTTCACCGGTTTCCGGTCCGATTTTCAAAACTATGGGTGATAGACCTGATAGTATTATCTCCGTCCAATAATTTCTTTCTCACTTTCCTTTCTCCGTTGTTCACAATTTATTTCTTGTTTCTTATTTTGGTAATTTTTTTAAATAAATGTGTCATTATACTCCTATTTTCCATCAACATTATTTACTTTATCATCTCACATCAAGGGAAAATATTTATAATCTTTTGCTTTTCTTAATCCTCGTGTCAAGTTAAAACAGAAAAGAAATTATTGGACAAAGGAAGCATAATTCTACAATGTTACTCATACTTGAAATAAGTCATATAAAACATTTCTCAGTATTTAATGATATACCCCACCTTATAATCAACATCTGCAACAATTTTGGAGAATATAATTCCAGAAATGAGATCAATTGTAATAAGCTTATCATCCCTTTCTTTGGAGTAGTCAAGTCGACATAAATGTTGACTTCTGTATTGTTTGACCGTCCAAACAGAAGCAACCTTAGCCGCCTAAATGAGCCATGGGCACTAGTCCGGATACGAGCACTTCGTAAACTAGTAACTTTGACGCTTTGAAGAAGTGCGATATTATCTATGCTCTGCAATATTGCGAAGTGACATGGTACATTACAAACTTTTAAAATGACCATATGTATATTCGATATGAATTTCAGGGATACGAAACGTCGGATGCAGAGAAATTTGTTCAACCGGCCTATGAAGAGGAAAATCATGCTATGTGTATACGTCTGGTCTGTACATACAGATCCATCCAGATACTTTAGACTCGTTTGAGGAACTCTCATCATCGGAAATGAAAACGAACGTAGGATCGTAGGGGTCGCTTTCATCCTCCACTTTGTGTGCTATGTACAAAGAGATTTGCTGCCCATTGTTGTTGTTCTTCATGCTATTGGTGGTGGTAATAATGGTATTGTTATTGTTCTTCATCTATTTCCTCTTCTTGTGATATATCTATTTGTTCTTCTCCGCGAACCTGGTCCTCAACATATAGTGCCGCTAGGTACACTTCAAGTTCTTCGTATTGTTTGGCTGCCTTTTGAATGAAACACCTTGTAATACCCTAATTTGTAAATAAATGGATTGGTAAAGGAAAGGCTCAAAAGGATTGCTAGTACTACTCATACCAACAAGGTGCATCTTCTTTTTGAGAGCTCATCACTTAAAAACTCCAAAATTAAGTGTGTTTGACTTAGAGAAATTCTGTGATGGGTGACCCCAAGGAAGTTACTTGGACGCGCATGAGTGAGGGCAAAATATGCGAGAAAGACTTGTGTTAATTTATGGGGCTAGTCTACAATCCTATAAGTAGACACTTTCAGCCAGGGTGGGGGAGGGGTGTTACTGTAACACCCCAACTCGCGTAGCCCGAACCAACGGGTTAGCGAACCGGGTTTTTACTAAATTGGTATTCGCATGTATAATTTTTTTAAAAAAAGAAAATAATCAAGTGAATAAATTATAAAATTCATCCATGAGAGTTCAAAACTAAACCAAAATTTATTGGAGTAATAAAACAAGTCCAAACGTCGCGGAAGCAGAATAAAACCAAAGTAACGTCCAACAGTCCATATAACCAAATATAATTATGTGGTTTAATTATTAAAGTAATAGGAGCCATCCACGCCACACCACCACTTCACTGCCTTCTGGGTTGCCCATCAAAATCTGTGTTCCTACCTGCGTGCAGTCAAACAACAACGACTACACGCTCAGCGAATTGCTGAGTGAAAATATATCTAAGCTAGCATTAACTCACAGAATAACATCACATTAACATACAATCAACAACCGCATGTGGTCACGGAGGAAATAAACATATTTATTTTAACACCTTCCATTTGAACGTCATGTCCTTATTTTATTCCACATCAACTACTTTGGGTCATGGCACCCCAAGCGATGCTATAAAAGGGCCAGCTCAGAAACCCAAAGGAGATTCACTTTGGGCGGGTTGAAGCCCCTATCCCTGCGATGCCAGGACAGGTCGCGGACTTCCGTACGTACGTTTTTAACCCACCAGGGGTGCGACGACGCCCCGCAATGGCCAACTTCCTAACCATACCCTATTAGTGATTCAATCAGTCAATCCAATTCAGGTCCGCCTAATTATACTAGGTGGCATATTTCCCATATATCATTCATAATCCATAATATTCACCAATAATATCAATTTAACTTAAATTTCAGTTCACAATTCACAACATGTCACATAGCGGCCTATCTGGGCCAAAGACCCACGATTACCGTCATGCATAATCAAACAACCTGAATTACACTTAACCCAACTTACCTGCGCGGAGTCGAGACCAAAGAATTAATCCTCGGGCCCGCTGCCCCCTCCAGAGCAGTACCAACTACCACCGGATCAGTCGACAACCCGCCGGACCAACCCGGCAGCCCCAACACGCTGCCTGTTCAGGCAGCCCCCACTCAACCGGCCCACGCTGCCGGCCCAACGGCCTAACGCAGCCGGCCCAACAGCTGGACCCGCCGGCCCAGCAGCCCGGTCAGTCAGCTCAACGACCTGGTCTGCCCAACTGCCCGGACAGCCCCAATTGAATCCAAACTAACCTGTTTGCACCCAAGTCAAACCCAATTGAAACCCGAATTAACCCGATTAAACCAATTGGGTCCAAATTGGACCCGCCGGAAACTGCCCGTACGTTGGCCGTAGCCACCACCGGCCAGCCGCCGGCCAATTCGCTGGAAAACAGCCCCCAACACAACCCCAATCTAATCTAATGCACAATCAACCACAAATTTCACAATCAAACACAAAATTGATACCACAAGATCCTAATCTACAAATTAATGCCAACTATAGATACAGTAACCACGAATCACTTCGAATTACTGAAGAATTAGAAACCAAATCGGAAGAGGGACGCTCGCCGCTGCACTCCCTGTTGCGGCTGAATCTACCGTGCGACAGGGAAGGAGGAACGGCGACGGCGGCTACGGCCTTCGGCGACGGCGGCGTTGGCGGAGCTCGGTGGCGCTCCTGCTGGTTGACGGGACGACGAGGGTGAACGGAAGTCAGGCGCAGAGGTACAGACGGGAAACGTACGGGAAATGGAGAGTGACCGTTTCTTTATAACCCCTCCTGATTTATTAAATTTGGGGTCCAGTTTACACTTTCTAACCGGTCAGGATGTATTTAGGTCTAATTACCTTATTCGGCAGTTGTATCTTAGGCCCTGTAAGTTCGATTCTCAATCCGTTCGTGCGGTCGGGTTCAGAACAGCGAGTCCTACAACGTAGGTCAACTCTCATATTAAATACACAAATTAGAAAATAATCTTCATTTTGACTGACTTAGTAATTAATTAATTATATAAATTAATTAAAAATACCAAGTCGGGTTTTGGGGCATTACAGTTACAAATGGTATTAGAGCAACCCTGCGATCGTGACGGGCCAACGAGCTTAGTTCACATAGCGGGAAAAATCTAGGAGTTTGAAAAAAAGATTGCATTGTTAAGTGGGGGTGAATGTAATACCCTAATTTGAAAATAAATAGATTGGCAAAGGAAATGCTCAAAAGGATTGATGGTACTACTTATACCAACAAGGTGCATCTTCTTTTCAAGAGTTCGTCACTTAGAAAATCCACAGTTAAGCGTGCTTGACTTGGAGCAATTCTAAGATGGGTGACCCATAGGAAGTTACTTAGGCACTCACGAGTGAGGACAAGGTGTGCGGAAAAGACTTGGGTTGGTTGGTGGGGCCAATATACAATTCTATGAGCAGACACTTTTGGAAAGGGTGGGGGCCGGGGTGTTACACACCTCCATGTTCGCTCGTCGAAAATTGGGAAAGGACGTGATGCAACACACACTCCATCCTCGTATTTGGGATATTTCCCCAAATTTTTTTGATTGAATTGAGATTGTCATCGGCAATAACATCGAGAAGTTCATTGAATCTGAAATTGGGAAAGGAGGTGATGCAACACACACTCCATCCTTGTATTTGGGATCTTTTTTCCAAATTTTATTAATTGAATTGAGATTATCATCGGCAACGGCATCAATGAGTTCATTGAAGAACTCATCGAATGAGACATCAAGATCAAATACAAAAGCTTTGTTTGAATGCAATGAGTACTCTACTTCATTATTTTCAATTGTTAGATCACCACTCCAATAGGCTAGAATAATAAAACTACCATCAGAAGCCATTTTTTGAGAATGTAAAGGAAAACAGTGAGTAGATATTTGAAAGGATAATTTTTAAATGGTAAGTGTGTAAGAGTAAAGTCCTAAATATATAGTTGATGATATGAGTTAGGTGCAAGAAATTTTATTATGTTAGGTGAGATATTTTATTAGATAGATGGATTGAGTTAGGTGTATTGTCTGGTGTAGAATTTAAGTATTAGTTGGGTTGAATGGTATAAGATTTATTGAGTTATGTGAATTCTATGGTGTTGGTCTATTTTAATTTGGATATTTTTATTCGAATGGTAGACAAGGTACCATATCATATTAAACATTTTTTCTAAAAGGACGTACGAAACGGTAGATGACTATCGTTTCGTATTAAATCATTTACAAAATGGTAGATGATCTACCATTTCATTATGAATTCTTTCTGACAGCATTGATCTGGAACACTTTTTTCTTTGCGGCACTATCTGGGAATTAAATCAACAATTCAATGATGAAGTAATGTTTTTCTGTGAACAATGAAGGATCAAAGATCCGTTTGGTATGTAGAATTGACAGAATTGTAATTGAATTAGAATTAAATTCTCTCATTCCAATTCATCTTTTTAGCTACCAATCTCAAATTCATACATTTGTTTACTACTAGATAATAGAATTAGAATTGAAATTCTTAATTTGAGGAATCCTTTAATATAATATTTGAGACTTGGATCACCATAGCTTGACACGTGGAACGTCTATGTGGAGCCTTTATTGACACGTCAATGATGACTGTACACGGATCTAAAATCATTCCTAAACAAAGACTTCATATATGGAAACTTTGTTTATAATCATTGACCACTTTTAACAAATAATTTATGGCAACTTTTAAAACTTGATATTTGTATACATTTGATAAGTTTAAACTTATATATTTGATATTCCAAAAAAATTACTTCCTTTAAATTCATTTAACTTATTCATATCTCCACAAGTTTTTTTTTAAAAAAATTAAAAGCGATTTTTAAATAAAATTTAAAATTACTTCCTTAAAATACTTTATTCTACTAATTTATATAGAAATTTCTCTAAATAAAAGTAAAATATTAAAAATGTACCGAAATAGAAGCTCCATGTTTTTATCCAAAAATAGGAGTCTGTACTATGATAATATTGCACTCTATATTAACATTTTACAATACTTTTTTGTGTTATATATTGGCATGATTGACATTGTATGTACATTTTAACTCCTACGTTGGGAATAAATTAAAAATATGAAACTTTTATTTTTGTATATTTCCTATCTTTTACTCCTACTTAAGTTTTTTAAATTTATATCCGTATTATTATAAGTACGTACTACTTTGTATATAAATTAAAAAATTCAATTTTTATAGTTACAACTTTTGAGATGTTACTTTTTTCGAAAAACTTTCATATGATATTAAAAATAAAATGTGTATTACCTAATTAATAAAGGAAATTTTAACAATAAATACTTTATGATTTAGTGCATTTCATATTTTTTTCCCTAATAAATACAATTTCCTTAAATATGTAAAAAGAAATTAAGCAAGGATTATTGTGTAGTGTGTTATAAAAATAAAAGTTCTATTTTAGAGAAAAAATGGTTCCATGTTTTTTATTTCCTAAATAAGAGTTCACACAATAGTAATGTAGCACTGTATTGCATGTACATTTTTCTATAATTTTTTGTAATGTACATGGTCATGATTGGTAATGTAAATACATTTTTCCTCCTATTTAAAAAATAAAAACATGAAACTCATACTAACCAAATTAATCTTGAAAAATATTTTGCAATAATATTTTTTTATATAATATAGAAAAGTAAAAGTTATCTAATTTTGCATCTGTTCTTTGAGATTTGAAAATAAGAGTTAGATGTTGAAAGAAACTGAAATAAGTTGCAAAAAATAAAAAGAGTTTGAAAATGTTAAAAAGAATGAGAAGAAAGTAAAAAGAGTTGGAAGTTTGAAAAAAAAATTAAAGGAGTTGAAATGAATATTTTTTTGATAAAATAAGTTATACTAACATTTTTTTTAAACGAGTTAAAATATAATCCTAACATAAAGAAAATATATTGGTATATTTATTTTAAAAAATGGTCATATAAGGAGTTATTTTTTTATTCCTAACATTGTTTTCAGATGAAAAGTCTATTAAATTTTTACATAAATAACCAGATAATATACTCCGTACTAAAATAAAATTTCAGGGAAATTTGGCATAGATTATAATTAATAATGTTTATTTAATAATTCCAAAAATTTTCATGGAAGTCATCTAATTAAAAATATAAACCATATTAATCGTGACAAATATTTTGCAATAATATTTTTTTATATAATATAGAAAAGTAGAATTTATCTAAATTAGTATCTATTTGAAAAAAGAGTTAGATGTTGAAAGAAATTGAAAAAAAAGTCAGAAGAAACTCAAAAGAGTTAGAAGTTTGAAAATATTGAAAGGAGTTGAGATGAATATATTTTATTAATTAGAATAAGTTATACCTCATGTTTTAAACATTATTTATTTTGAAAGGAGTTTCATTTCCTTCTATTTTTTGTTATATATCCTATTATTTTTGTCTTAGACATTATTTAGTACAATAATTTTTGTGTGACTCACACTTATTATTTCTCTTAATTTTTAGTATCAATATCATTCATAGAATTTTTCTTTTCTTAGTTTTGTGTCCATAACTCATGTAAAAAAAATGCTGAGACGAAATGAGAAATAATTTTTATTAATGTTTTTAGAGGAATAATTCAATACTCATTGATCAATAAAAAATGATACGGAGTATTAAATTTCACTTTATAGACTAAAATAATTATAGTTTATGATATGGCTAGCGATATTCATTTATTATCAGAAATGATCAATGTGATACAAGTTAATTACTTTATTTTGATTAAGTAAAAGAATCATTTTAATATGAAAATAAAAACAATTAAAAAATAATATTATTAAAAAGAAAAAATAACTCAATCAAAAGTATATAAAAATGAAAAAATTAATAAAAATAGTGATCTTTGTGCGTGTTTGAGAGATCTTATACTATGAATCTAGATGAAAAGTGTTATTGGAATTGCATATTAATTTTTAGTGATATTGACTCGATTATAATGTTGTATATGTTCTTATTTTTCTCAATCTAATGACGAGAAAATAAATATGGCTTCCGTATCTACTAAGACGTACAATGTGAATGAGTTTCACCATAAATTTTGGACAATCGCTTTCTTACCACCCATGAATTTCGGCTGAGTAGTTTATATTTTTGTATTCAATCGGTATCAAAACTCTACTATAGAGCTTCAATCTCGATGGTTTCAGACGGGGTATTGTGGGGGGGGGGGGTTTCTTTGCTTTGTTCATGAAATCATAGGACTCGAAGACAGTGGCGGATTCAGAAATTCGGGTAGATGGGGGCACAATTGGTCGGGGCAGTGCCCTTGATTTTTTAAAAAAATAGACAACTTGAAATGACAAAAATTATGAATTTTATTTTAAACATTTATTGAATGTAAATTTTATTTAATCGGTAATGTAAAATTTCATTTTAAACAATAAATTAAATGCAATAAAATACACTTTACTTCAATAAGATTAAACAAAAAAATTAAAAATTAGCTTAATTAAATAAGGTTTCATTCATTTTTGTAGAGAGTAAATAATTATGGGATCAATCCCAATTTTAGATGGGGGCATGCAGCCCAAAGTATAAGATTTTTTTTAAAAAAATTAGTTTAGCACCAAAAATTAGTTGGGGGCATTGACCCCCAAATGTTTCCAAGTAGATCCGCCCCTGCTCGAGGAGTGAGTAAGAAAATATACATTCTTCCAAAGCAAATAAAATCATTTTCTCTTTTTTGAGTTAAAAATATTTTGTCCTCAAAACAGATTTTTTACTACTTATATAACCAAACGTAGGAAATTAAATTAAAATTTCTTTAAAAATATTTTTTCTTTCAAGCAACATATCTTATGAGTTACATTTTCTTGAAGAAAAACACAGAACAAAAAGAAGAATTGTTCACTTCCGTGAGTGGCACGTGTTAAAATGCTATTCCCTCCGTTCTAAAAAAGAGTTCTTATTTTGAAAAAGTGGAAAAATAAGAAGTGTTAAAGTGTAGTTGACTTGCAATTTTGCCCCTAATGTGATAAGTAAAAGTAAGATGTGATGGATAGATTATTAGAGAAAAAGTATGACGTGATAAGTAGGGTATGAAAAAGTAAGGGTAAAAATGGTTTTTTTAATAGAAAGTGGGAGTGTTTTGTTGGAAGTGAAAAAAATGAAAGAGGAAGTGTTTTTGAGAAGGAAAAAAATGAAAATCAAACTCAGAGTTGCTATCATCAGTTTCCTATATAAATGCTTATCCCTTCATGCCTATGAGTTGTAGCCCAAAAAGAAGTGATGCAGGAGAGGGATGGGAGTTTATTGAGAGGGCAGTTGCCTCCCTCTCATCTGCACATGATTGATCACTGTATGCCCCTCTTCCAAAAACACCCCTTTCATCTTTCTTCTTCGCCGGAAAGAAACTACGGAGTACGGAGTAGTAAACAAACAAATAAATAAAAACTAGGGAGTATATTTTCTTGCTGTTATTGTTATTATTATTATTATTATTATTATTGGTTGAACTATGAGGAGGCTGTGATGATATGGTTTTCTGTGTTTTCTCTTTTTGGGCTAATAAATCATGAGGCATTTGGAGAAACGGTCCGTATCTTGGCGGGGCGACCCGGAATCGACCCGGTTGTTGCAGCCATGGCGGTCTCGTCTTTCTATTTCCCTCTGGAAAATACAGATCTGAGCCTCTCTAAAGCCGTTTTTATATTTCTCCCCTTGGATTATGTTTCCATTAAAGCATGTTTCTTCTCTGATTTCGTCCTTTTTCCCCAGATCTGAGTATAATCTCATCCAATTCCTTTTGAAATTTATGTGAAATTAACTTATTTGTTTATTTAAGATGAAAATTGATTTGTGTGTAATAATTTTGGCGATTTCTGAAATAGTTCAGTTGGAGTTCTGTATTAAAAAAATTCTATTTTTTGAAATCAAGACTCTCCTTGTGTTGATTTGAGCTTGAATTTCAAGTTTTTGGGTGTTGATTACAGAAGTTCGGAGAATGAAGGTATGTTTTCATAGCGTAGTGTAGGGAGAAGACTATTTTCTTGTTTCAAAATCTTACCGGGTCCGTTTGGTATACGGAATTGGTGGAATTGGAATTGAATTGGAATTATGATTCCATGAGATTCAATTCCATAGAATTGAATTTACCAATTTCAATTCATTTTTTGCACTATCGATTCCAAATCCACGTAATAATTATGCTACCAAACGGGGCCACAGTGTTATTGCCTCCTAAACTTTGCCTTTTCGGTTTTTTAATATTAATCATCATTTTTAATTCAAAACTTATATAAATTTTATATAAATATTTATATGTCAAGAAGAATAGATAAATAATACTTCTTTTGTCCCAAAATAAGGCCTTTGTTTGAATGTTTGATTGAATCTATTTTCAAATTAATATAAGGAAAAGAATTGTTGTAGAATTGAGAAATAAAAATTATATACCCCGTATTAAAAAAATTACATCAAATATTTCACAAAATGAAAGGTGATATGGACGGTGCAGTGCCGGAAATGTGGCTCAGAGGACTGCACGGCAGGGTGTGGGAAGGCGTGCGGCACGGCGGCTTTCTCCCCTCCATTGTAATGCTCAAACGTTTCAAAACAAGTTTCCCACTAGGTTTTATTCCCTATTTTAGATTTGTCATAGTCCGAAAATTTTAGTATGATAATGTTTTATCTTATCTTGTACTGTAGATTTTTTTCATGTACTCCATAGTTTTTAAAATATTACTCCCTCCGTTCTAAATTTTTTTTTCTGTTGCGCAAAATGAAGAAAAATTATAAGTTTTTTCAATCTATTTTATTTAAATATTGGTATAGAAATAAAAAATAAAACATACATATTTTAAAATTACATCAAAAGTTCAACAAAACAAGTGGTGACAAGAATATTTTATTTTATCATATAGGGCATGAAAAAACACAAATAAATATAAATTCCCGTGAAGTTGGAATAGTGCCATGGGAAGAAAGTTTTAGGACGGAGGGAGTAAATTTTAATTTTTTTAGTTTTACAAACTCACTTCATTCCATAAAAAACTCCTTATTTTGAGTGTTCACAATCTTATTTTCTCATCTGTATTGTTTTAACACATTTTTACTTTGTTAAAAATTTGTACTGGGTCAAATTGTGAAGCTATATTTTAGGACAGGAAATATAGAATACTTCATAAAATTCAATAATTGTATTTAAAATAACTTAATTCAAATCTCATTAACAAATATGAGAAATATTAATGGAGGAGAAATAAATGTGGCTCAAATATATCTCCTGCAGCTAAGCAAAGTTTCATCATTTTCTAACATTTTTTAGAATTGTAAAAAATAATATGTAACACTCTTTATGGGACTGAAAGTACACACTCCGTATCATATAAGAGGATGGGTAAAAGTCCGTAAAACCTAGGTATGTTTTATTAGATTGAAATGTTAGAGTTGAATGTTGGAAAAAACTAGAACAACTTGAAAGAAACTAGAAAAAGTTTAATAAAATTGGAAGGAGTGAAAAATATTGAAAAAAATAAAGTGTTAAAATTTACTTAATTATATGATCCCTTAAATCTTTATCTTTATCTATACAAAGGTAATGTGTAAAACATGAACAATGCACTTTCTCGCCCAAATGTATTAGGCTAAATTGGCAGGCGAGGAGTTTAATGGGCTATGTGATGGGTAATGATGCTTTATGGGCTAATGTGATAATAAATATCCTCCATTGGTTAGTGTGTATGATTATGAGGACGAGAAAAAGGACTTGTCGGTTGAAAAATTAAAAGAAAACTTTACAGAGCCAAGTAAAATTAATTGTGCTACATTGAAGATTGTATAATCTCTCATGGATTTGTTAATTGGCTTTGGTATTTTAAAAGATCATTCTTGGTATATAAAGTCATCACTATCTCCACTTTTAATAACCAAATCAAAAACCAATCAAAATTTTCATACTATTTGATGGTGTAAATATAGCTGGGTGGGTTAACCGGGTTTGACTTGGATACACTCAACCCGTAATATAAAACACACGACAAGAACACAAAGTATGACCTAGACCGGGTAAATCTCCTCAGTCTGAATTATATTTCTTACTCTATCTCAAGAGTGAACTTTAGTGAGAGAAAAATTGGATCCCCCCTCTATCAAATATCATCATATTTATAGAGGAGGATTTGTGACCCTCCCCTGTTCATCCATGGACAAAATAGGAAGCTCGTGGGAAGGTCACTGTAGATAATGGAAGCACTGTACAATCATAGAATTTAGCAACTATAAGCCAAGACATGTACTGTTCAATCAAAGATTATAGATGGATATTCTCAATCCAATCAGCCCTGCAAAGTGACAAACATCCCTTTCACTGTTTATCTCGTGATGGACGAACGGCGGGGTGGTCCCTCGATCTTTGACGTGGTTCACCATGCCTGAGATACTGGACCAATGTTTGTCAAATAAGATGATATGACCGGTCACCTTTTTCTCAAAGGTTGACCGGTCATTTCTTGAGCTCAACCCGTCTCTTTGGTCTTCTTGAATTCTTCACAACATTAAGTGATATTTTGGCTATCGCCCAAAATGTGACCGGTCACTTTTTTAGTGGAAGTGACCGGTCAACTTTTGACCCGTCCCAATCAAAGAGTTAACTTTATTTGGTGATTGATAAAAGTGACCGGTCATATTTTGACCTGTCCCTTTCGGTTATCCGGGTCGGGTATAAGGATATACCCATCAAGAAGGCCTCCACTTACCGGCCTTGTGATGAAATCATCAAGGGTGGGAAGTATATTTATGTTGATCTATCACTTTTGAAATTATCAAGTCATTCCCATGATCTGTCCTTCTTTGAAATAATCAAGTCATTCCCATGACCTGTCCTTCTTTGAAATAATCAAGTCATTCCATGACCTGTCCTTCTTTGAAATCATCAAGTCATTCCATGACCTGTCCTTTGAAATCATCAAGTCATCCCCATGACCTGTCCTTCTTTGAAAGCATCAAGTCATTCCCATGACCTTTCCTTCTTTGAAATCATCAAGTCATTCTCGTTGACCTGTCCCTTTTTTTAAATTGTCAAGCCATTCCCATGACCTTTCTATGGAGACCTGCCCATTTCTTGGATTCACCGTCTTCATATTAGACCTGGCACTTTTGGATTTGAGGAATACGCTGCATGACCTCTTCCACGCGTCAGGTTAGTGGAAGTCCAAGCGTTGGCCCTGACCCTTCAGTTTTTGGAATTTCCCCCCAAAACCTTTCACCTTACCATTCAAAATTCAAATTTCCCCCCTAATCATAACCTCTTCCACGTGTCAGGCGCTCCTTCTCCCACCTGTCGCCTCGAGCTCCAAACCGCCTCCCTCTCTCCTATAAATACCTCACCAACCCATTTCATTTCTTCGCTTTCCTCCTTCGCTTCTCTTGATTTGCCCGGTCAACTTTCTCTCTCTACCCCCATCTGCCAAGTAAGTCCTCTAGTCCTTCTAGTCTTTTAATTCTTCCATCTTTCCATTTTTGACCGGTAGGCCTAGGTCATGTCTTCTGATAGCCAAAACATATCTGGCCAGTCTTATGGATCAGGCTCTCAGCCTTCTTCCTCTTCCCACTCTGAATCTTCTTCTCCTCCTCCTACTCCTTTGATCCGTTGCCCCTCCCAACAGTCTAACTCTCAGGCCCGGGAAATAATTGCCCAGGAGCCTGTCCCTTTGAATCAACTGCCCGGTCGATTCAATCCCAAGGTCCTCAGTTGGGAGGAATGGGAAGAACGACTGGGATCCTTGGGCTTCCTAGCCCTTGATGTCAGACCGATGTTCAAAGAGTCTTCTAGGGTTACCAAAAAGGTTCTGGCCGAGGTCCGTACCATTCTCCCACCGGGCTACAAAGTCCTTTCCAAAACTACTTGGCCCAACATCATTGAACCCCACTAGGGAACCCGATTGGGTTTTCATGTTGCTTCTCTAGAGGGGGGTATTATTTTTCCTCTTCGCCCCCTCCTTATTGAAATCTGTAAGAAGTTTCATGTTTTGCCCGGTCAACTTACTCCAAACGCTCACCGGTTCTTAAATTGTTTTTTTAATATCTGTGAAAATCTGAAAATCAACCCCTCCCTTGAGCTTTTCCTCCATATGTACGAAGTCTTGCCCGGGACTAGTAACTGCCCGGGCTTCGTCTATTTCCATTCTCGTAATAAGAGATCTTTTGTGACCGGTCTTCCCCCTAGTCACAAAAGATGGAAGAAAAGATTTGTTTTTGTTGAATTCCCCCCTGACCAATTTCCTTTCTCAAACCCTGAGTGGGCTGACCGGGTTATAAAACCTGAAAGGGTTCATCCGGAGCCCACTAAAGATCTTGAGGACGCCTGCGAGAAACTTCTCAAGGGTGATCCTGTGACCGGGAAACCTTATGCCTATGGGGGCTGGGTATTCCGGCTACCTAACCCGGATGGGGGTGCGTCTGTGACCCATGACGCTGAGGATAACCGGGCTGATTCCCCAGATGGTCACGCTGAGGCCGGCTCTCCTCATCCAGGTTGGTTAATTTTCCTCAACCTTTTGATTCCACTTTCATTTTGATAAGGTGTAAAATCTAACCGGTTACTTTGTTCTTTTTGGCAGACATGAACTTCAACAGGATGACCACCATCATTGAAGATGACGACGATGATGTCCAAGTCCTCCACTCCAACCGGTCTCCTCTCTCTAACTCTCCTGGAATGGATGGGGCCACAAGTGCCCGGTGTAGCCCTATCCATGAGCAGAGCCAGAAGCTGAAATCTCCTTCAGCCAGGCATCATTCTGAGGTTGACCGGGCTAATTCCCCCAAAGTCCCGGTCCAATCAGGTGCTAAAGAGGTTGGTGCATCTTCCTCTTCAAAAGCCAAGGACCAAAAAAGGAAGAGCTCTCATAAGAGTTCCAGGGGAGGCAAGAAGAGGAAGATTAGTTTATCAGACAGGGAGGGGGAATCCATCGAAGAAGCCTTCCTATCCCTGGCCAAAAAACTCAGCAAGGTATTTCATCTCCAGTTTTCTTCCCGGTTCACGTTTTTCCTTCACTTTTCTTGATATGCCTCCTCTCTTTCTTTTTTTTTATATTTTATTATTACAGGCCGGGGTCATTTCAGAGGAGATTGGCCAAACATTAAAGGAGAAGGACCAGGTCTCCCAACTCACCCTCCTCCTTGATTCTGCTAAGTTAGAGATCAATGACCGGGCAGAAAGGGAGAAGAGGCTGGAGGAAGAGTTGAGGGAAGAAAGGGTCAGGTTTGCCCTTTTGGAGGAGGAAGGGAAGAGAAAGGTGGCCGAGCTCGAGGATGCACTGGGCCAGGCTGAAGAGGCTGCCCGGTCAAAGGAGGAGGCATTCCCTACTGAAGCTGCTGGCTGGGCTGCTTGCCATCACTTGGAAGTTGCCCGGTCTATTCTCACCACGCCGGAGGAAACCATGGACTTCTTCAAAGTCATGTATCAAGAGCCGGAGGGGAAGAGGATAATAACGGAGATAGGGTCTTATGGATTCCAGTGTGGCCAGAAAGATGAAAGGTCGCTCCTCTACGCAAGGCTTCAGAAGAGGGATCCTTCTTTCGACCCGGTTAAAATGAAGCTCCCGGCCTTGTACAAGGAAGAGCCAACTCCCCCCTTTCCCCTAGAATAGGTTAGGGTTTGGTTTGAAAAAACTTTGAATTTTCCCAAGGCCTGGGGGATGTCCGGCCTACTTCTAACTTGTGTAATATTTAAATCTTCTTGGCATGCTCTTGAATTTTACCGGTCTTACTTGCTTCACATTGCATGGTTGAATTTATTTTTCTCGCATGTTCACTTCTTTTCCTGGTTGTTTTCCTGTTTTGGAGTTGCTTGGTTATATTTGCCGGACTTGAACTTTAGGAATTATCTTTCAAGAATGTCCAGGTCATCTCATGGCCTGGTCTTTAAAACATCAAGGCTTGATTGACAATCTTCCAAAAGTAACCGGTCTAGTTGGCTTGGTTGAAAATGTCCAGATTTTTTAATGTCCTGGCCAATTTCATCTCTTGAAAATGTCCAGGTCTTGTAATCTTGAAAACGTCTAGGTCCAGGGCACCTCACGTCTGACTAGTTTTCTGAACCGGCTTATGTCCAAGTTGAGCTGCTACAAATGTCCAGGTCATTTCGTGTCCTGGTTAGAAGGCTAGGTTGAAGGTCTTGAGAAGCATTTTAGATGCAAGGCTTGAAAACTTCCAGGTCATCTCATGTCCTGGTCTCTTGAGTTGAAAACGTCTAGGTCAGTTTCTTCCCCGCTTGTCTTCTGACCTAGTCAACATCCAGGTTAGAATGTGACACTCGTCTAGGTTGAATTCTTCTTGACCAACTTCTAATGGCTTGGTTGCAATATGTAACCAGCATGACGTCAAATTTCCTGTCCAGGTGCCGGGTCAAAAATTTGACCGGTCAAAATGAAAGTTCTCCAAATTTGTCTGATTTCATCAAATCCGCCAACTAAAAAAGTGACCGGTCATTTTTCTCAAAGTTGACCGGTCAAATTTTAATTTTTTCCCATTCGCATTTTCTTGCCAATCCAAAACATCAAAAAGTGACCGGTCACTTTTGACCATGCCACTTTCCTTTACCCCTTTGGCCTGGATATCATGCCTAACAGTAACCTTGCTCAAATTTCGAACGAATAATCCGAATCGGTTTTGGAATCATCAAGTCTCAACATCAAGACCCGAACTTTCTTCGGTGATTTTGACCATGTCCTATGATCGCGAACCCTCTCCAAGGTTCAGCCCTCTTCCAGGCAACACCCTTCTTCCAGGGCCCCTCTTCCAGGTTTTAAGTTTTTTAATATGCCTTTCTCTAATCATTAGGTTGACCTAGCCAACCCAATCTTCCGACGTGGGGGTATGCCGGTGAGAACCAGCCCTCATCCAATCCTACATGTCCATATATTATGCGTTTGAAGTGAATTCTAGTCTTCCCTAGATCCTTCAATCCGCAAAGGATGGCTCATGCAAGACGGTAATTTTTTTTTTACTTTGGCATCTTTTTGCCCCTATCCAAACAAAAATTTGGTAGGGATCCATGTAAGTATGGACGCGAGTCCTCTTCCAGACCCAGCCTATCTCAAGGCCATACCTCAACATCAAGGCCCCTATCTCAAGGGTTTATCTCCTTTTTTTTGACCTTGCCTCTTACATCAAGACATATTATTTTACTATTACTGACCCAGCAACACAAGTATCGAAGAAAGCTATTATTTATCATCGAAGGGGTATTACAAATACATGCCCTGCCAATTTGGCCTATCGGTAGAATTTTCTAAGGTGGTGGGAATTCCAGCACCTTTCCAACTCTCGACCTTCCATTGTTTCTAACTTGTATGTCCCAGGGCGTAATATTGCTGTGACCCTATATGGGCCTTCCCATTTCTTTGCAAGTTTTCCCCCGTCTCCGGGTTTGCTAGCCTCCCTTCGTCTCAGGACCTCATCACCCACTTGGAAATAACGAGGCCCTACCTTGTTATCATGGTAGGCCTTGGCTGCTTGCTGGTATTCCGTCATTTTAGCCTCAGCGACCATCCGCCTTTCTTCCAACAAGTTTAGCTCTGCCAAATGGTTTTCCTCATTCCCTTTCTCTTCATAGACCTTCTCCCGAAAGGTCATTATTTTAGCTTCGATGGGTAGTCTGGCCTCACACCCATATGTAAGGACGAAGGGTGTCTCCCCTGTGGCCCTTCTTGAAGTGACCCGGTAAGCCCAGATGATATGTGGCAACTCCTCTAACCAATTCGTTCCTGC